AATTTGATATAGTACTAGAATTTGCTCTCTCTGAATTCCATCACTAGTCCGTGTGTACCACTGCAGTTCCCTGTTGATTGCTTTGTGTGCCATCCCAGTGTTACTGCACCATGGCTGTATTTTCAGAGGGACCTGTGCCCTCCCAAGGGTTTGGGTTGCTGTAGGTGACAGCTGTGACCCAGGGCTGGCCCAGCTGTGGGGCTGGCACTCAGGGTGGGTCAGCGACAGCTGTGAGGGGTCAGAGCATTCACCCCCAGAGCCCTGGGGACAAGGTGCTGCTCCTGCTCCCCGGGGCTGCAGCAGCCCCCTCCCATCACCTCCGTACCCTGGCAGCTCACCAGGAGCATTCCAGAAAACAGGACAAACTTATAAAATACACAGCCACAGCTCAACGCACTCGTTGCACTGCAGCACGCCTGAGGAGAACAGACACGGAAAATAGGCTACGTGATTTAGTTCTGTGCTTGCTCCCATTAAGTGCTCCCCTCTGACCACTGTATCTCTTTTAATTGTAATATGAATTTGCTCTGCCAGCAAACCCAGTTCAGCTGGGGAAAACTTCTGCTCCATTTGTTCCCACTCATTCCCATCAGTTTCTAGGTCAGTGGTTCATTTTCTAAAGGTCTCTGCCATGCACAGCACACATGGGTTCATTCAGGACCATGAGGAATGTTTTACTTTCAAGACAACATTGCTTCTGGAATTAAGTTTTCCAGATAAATCACATATAAAATGTTACTAGCAGAACCAGCTGTAGACACAGGTGCCCAGGGGAGGATTCAATACCATGCCATAACTTGTTTTCTTAAAACAAACCATAAAAAATTGCATTATTAAATACACAGTTTTACATGTTTTCCCAAAGCATCAGACAGTGTCACAGGAACTATTCCCTGTAGGAATCCTGCAGAGGGAACACTGCTGGATAAACGGATTTGATAGCTCGTTACCTGCTGCCCTGTGCTCCTGCATGGAGCTGCAGAGCAGTTTGCTGGTACAGACTTTACACAGAGGAGTAATTGATGTGAGGCTGCTTTTCTCTGCACACATTACAGCTAAACAGCACCAGGCATTATTGCCTCACTTTAGTCATGCCCCCATAGATCAGGAACAGTGAAGTACATTTCACAGTTCCTGCCAAAACACCTCTTTTTTGCCAAACAGACAGGAATTTTTAAAAATCATTCTCTCTTGCTCTCTGAATGTCTATCTCTGTGTCCTAGACAAACAGGACCACAATTTGAAACAGTAGCTTAGAAGCTGCATAAAAATATTTAGAATAAACTATTCCTGAATTTGTGCATCCACAATCACAGCACAATTTCCTTTCCCATGTCACAACCCTTTGTGGGACCTCATGAACACGAATGGAAAAAGTCTAAAGAAATATTTATTGTCTCATTCCCAGAGAAGAGGGGATGGCCGAGCCTTCAGCCAAGGGAGATCAGCCCCTAACACTGGCACTGCAAGAGACCTCAGCGACACCTTGTGCCAGACCTGCCTCCCCAAACACAGCTTCCTGCACTGTCCCCAAAAATGCTGTCACACTAAGGACCAAAGAGCACCCTCAGGAAGGGGAGGAGAGGCTTTTCCTGGAGCTGGTCTCTCTCCCTCCTGGCCAGCCTATGCCTCTGAGTTCCACAGAATTTTTCTGCCTCCAAACATCCATGAAAAACCATTTCTAGCGAATTATTTCATCTGGTTGCATTTAGAAGAGCAGGATCAAAACAATTATCACAAACGAGCCAGAACCCCCAGCCTGATATCAGAGACAACTTTTCCTAATGTGTATAATAATGTTGTGTTTGTTTTGTTTTCAGTTTTTCCAGATTTGCTCAGAATTATCCCCGCAAGCATCCATGTCAGCGTCATTCTGTTCTGCACAGTGCTGATTGTGTTTGCCCTGGTGGGAGCAGGGTTCTTCATGTTCAACGCCTTTGGCAGCCCCTATGAGACGCTGCACGGCCCCGTGGGGCTGTACCTGTGGAGCTTCATCTCCTGTGAGTGCCAGGCTGGGCTGGCACTGCCAGCAGCGCCCGCTGCTCAGCACAGGGGCAGCTTGAACCGGGCCTGCTTGGGCTCTCAGTGGGCAAAAGCAAGCCAGGCAGGACGGCAGGGGCTCTGCCACGTCAAAACGCGTGTTTTCCAAACTGAAGTTGGGAGATAAACTGGGGAGATCCCCCCGAGGGTGGGTGGCAGGACGGGAATGGGCAGGCAGCCGCAGGAGCCATGGCAGGGACCCAGAGCTGGGGTGGCATCGCTGACACCCCACACACAGCCAGAACCAGGAGCCACCCAGAGCAGGAAAGGGGGGAGAAAACAACCAAAACATGGCAGTGATGCAGCTGGCTCCACAACAGGAGGGGTCCAGACAACGCGAGCAGCACCCAGAGCAGCGCAGCCTTGCCCAGGACAGAGAGCTGGGCAGCCAGAGGCAGCAGCAGCGCTGCCATGCAGGAAAGCAGCCACACACTGCTCCCTGCACTGCTCCCTGCGCTGACAGGCAGGTTCACCCCGGCCTCACGAGGTGTTACACATTACAACCACAATTTCACAAAGGACTTCAGCACAAGTTCACGTTCAGGCATGCAGAGAGCACCGTTATGCTCAATGGGACAATGAGCAACTTAAAGCTGAACATGAACACAGACACCTCACTAGCTCAGGGCACTAAAGCAGCCATGCTAAATATTCCTGGTCCTGAGCCAAACTCAATTAGAAAAGCTTATCCATTTCAATAGCCATTGGCTTGGATTCCAAAAATAATCCCTGTTAAAGCCGTGTGGCCATACAAACGTTCTCCCTGTGGCACTGGGCTGCAGCACACACCGTGCAGCACAGCTGAGGGACTCTGAGGTAACGAGCATCTCCCTCTCCCTTTCAGGTTCCTGCGGCTGCCTCATCATGATTCTCTTCTCCTCAGAGGTGAAGATCCACCACCTTTCAGAGAAAATTGCTAACTTCAAAGAGGGAACTTTTACATTCAAGACTCACAGTGAGCAGTTTGCAAATTCCTTCTGGACCATCCTGGCTTGCTCCCTGGTGCACTTCCTCAATGCCCTGCTAATCCGATTTGCTGGATTTGAATTTCCCTTTTCAAAATCAGAAGAGTCAGGGACAATCACAGGAGCGGTTGACTTGATGTATTAAAATGATGGGATTTAAAAATATTTCAAGCAAAGAAATTTGTCACTATTACATCAACAACCACCAGATGTACCAACCTGTGAACGATTGCCCTAGAGAAGGTAAAAAAAGGGAAAGTTTCAAATAAGTGTTAATGTGGTGTAAGCAGTGAACAAAAGAAGATGTGCTGTATGGTAATGCCTGGATGGAAAAGCCCTCTAAGACATTTTTTTGCTGTAAAATGGACACATCAACCCTCGCCCCTGGACAGCCCCAGGCCAGCTAAAGCACGGGATGCTCCCCAGGCTGAGCATCACACCACCAAACACTGCCCCTGTGGGCTTACCTGGGCACCAGGAGATGAGCTGCTCCTCACAGGACACAGAAACACACAGAGACACAGAGCCCCTGCCCCATTTATTATCTGGGGGGCTGTGCCCAGCTGTGAGTGAGGGCAATCCCTGCCAATCCCTGCCAGCTGTGGGTGAGGAATAATCCCTGCCAGCATCCACCCAATGCCCAGGTACAGATCAGGCCCAGGTTCCAGGTATCACAGCCCTCTGCACTTCAGGATCCACCAGCCCACAAGGCCTTACTGACTTTGATGTCATTTTTTTGCATTTTTTCTACTGTGAAAGGCAAAACACTGCCGGGTTGTTGCAAAGGTTTGTCAGCTGCATCTTTCCCAAGGTAGCTCTGCCTCTTCATCTCCCTGGATCTCATCAATGTGGAAGGGCTTCTGCAAGTCAGCACAACTCCCAGCTTCTTTCATCATTTTCTTCATAAACTATATGCATAGTCCTCCTAATGTTAATGTATGTTCTTAAAGCATCATTTGAGTTGCATCTCATGGTATTGTTTCCTATACAGCAAACCCAAAAACACTCCTTTACTGTGCAGACAAGAGCTGCCCCAGCCTGGGGTCTGGGAGTGCTCACAGGGGTCCCTGTGCCCAAAGCCCGGCCTGACCACCCCCGCATCCCACCCTGCACCCTGAGGGAACCCCAGGAGGGACCCTGGGGGAGCCCCAGCATGGACCCTGGACCCCCTTGCATGCGTGAAAATGCCCCTGTTACTGCCCTGTGCTGGGAAATGCCCCCGCTCTGCCCCGCTGTGGGACACGGCCCCGCTCCTGCCCCGCTGTGGGACACAGCCCCGCTCCTGCCCCGGGCTGGGAAATGCCCCCGCTCTGCCCCGCTGTGGGACACGGCCCCGCTCCTGCCCCGCTGTGGGACATGGCCCCGCTCCTGCCCCGCTGTGGGACACAGCCCCGCTCCTGCCCCGCTGTGGGACACAGCCCCGCTCCTGCCCCGTGCTGGGAAATGCCCCCGCTCCTGCCCCGCTGTGGGACACAGCCCCGCTCCTGCCCCGTGCTGGGAAATGCCCCCGCTCCTGCCCCGCTGTGGGACACGGCCCCGCTCCTGCCCCGGGCTGGGAAATGCCCCCGCTCCTGCCCCGCTGTGGGACATGGCCCCGCTCCTGCCCCGGGCTGGGAAATGCCCCCGCTCCTGCCCCGCTGTGGGACACAGCCCTGCTCCTGCCCCGGGCTGGGAAATGCTCCCGCTCTGCCCCGCTGTGGGACACAGCCCCGCTCCTGCTCATGCTGGACAATGCCCCGCTCCTGCCCCGCTGTGGGACACGGCCCCGCTCCTGCCCCGCTGTGGGACACAGCCCCGCTCCTGCCCTGTGCTGAACAATGCCCCCGCTCCTGCTCATGCTGGACAATGCCCCGCTCCGGCCCCGCTCCGGCCCCGCGTTCCCCAGCAGCCGCTCCTGCCGCATTAATCATTGATGCTCGGGCTGTCTCGCTCCCCACGGCGGCGGCAGGGCTCGGTGCCCGCAGCAGCGGGGGCAGCGCGGCCCCGCTCCGGACCATGGGTGACCCGGGGCACGCTGCGCCCGCAGCGCTGCAGGAGATCGCCAGCAGAATCGCTGACCTCAGCAAGTGGAGGGAAATCTTCAGTTCCTGTGGGTAAGGTTTTTATTCCGCTTCTTTGACACGGTTTTAATTCCAGGTGGTTATTTAACGCAATTTTTCAAGTTATGTTTTATTACAAAACTTATGTGGCAATGACAAAAGATCCTTGTGCACCCGGTAATATAAATGCTACAGGTCTTATTCTTCCTTTGTTCTGGGGTTCTCTTCTGGCTGGACTCCGGTTTCCCCACATGCTAGTAATACCTTTGTTGGGTGTTTTCATTTGTACTTTATTTATGCTTTCAGCTTGGAAATCAACAGCACGACTCATCAGGTAACTCCTTTTCCAAAGGTAATATTTTCTGTTTGTCTGGTGAGTTTTGGGCTGTCCTTAGATGGCACACGTCCACACCTGCAGCCCAGGTATCTATGGAGATTCATTTCTCATGCTGCTTCTTTGAGAAACAGACTTCAGATATTTTGAAGTCAAAGAGGCAGACCAGTCCTGCACTTGTTTAACCTTTCCATTAAAAACTAATGCTGAGTTTTAGAAAACAAACTAAGATCTCTAAAATGTAAGTATTTGGAAAGCCTGCTGTGCCCTTAGGTTGGGAGACACTGAAGTTATTCCCTGTAATTCAGACAAACACAGCACTATTACCTGCGGCGGTCATCGGCTCGGAGGGATGTGTTGGGAGTGTGTGAAAGCAGCTGGAATTCAAGGGCACCCCCGTTCCAGAGCAACCCGTGCCCCCAGCCCCCTGCCAGCCCAGGCACTGTGCCCACCTGGGCGCACTGGGGGCACGCTGGGTGGGGGAGCAGCAGCCCCGGTGATGCCCGGGGGGCACTGGGGGCACTGGGGGCACGCTGGGTGCTGCAGCAGCAGCAGCAGCCCCGGTGATGGATGCCCATCTCCCCGCAGCAGGGACAGAGCAGCGCTGGCCCGGGTGATGCACTGGGGGCACTGGGGGCACTGGGGGCACTGGGGGCACGCTGGGCGCTGCAGCAGCAGCAGCAGCCCCGGTGATGGATGCCCATCTCCCCGCAGCAGGGACCGAGCAGCGCCGGCCGCGGAGCGCCCGGAGCCGGGCAGTCCCCGGGGCCGCAGCCCCCCTCCGCCGTCCCCCGGCCCCTCCTGCTCCCTCAGGGCGCGGGCGGCCGCCCCATCTCCCCGGACGCGGCCACGGTGAGCTGCCTGCTGAATTAAGCATGAGCTGTAATTGAATCTCCTGAAGGGAAAGAGGCTGGGGAGCCTTTCCTGGTGCCCCGACTGCAGGGTTCAGCCTGCTGTCAGCTGAACAGGGCGTGGGATGGGGATGGATTATTTAGGAGACTCTTAACAAACGTGGCTGGAATGCAACCTTAAAGCTGATACGCAATAATTCTCGGGAGAGAATCAGCCAAAGACAACAGGCAACATTTCCCTGCGCTTGGGGGCTTCCCTGACAAACAGCCTCAGGACAGGAGGCAGGATCAGGGAATCTTAGAATTGTTTGGCTTGGAAAGGGCCTTTAACACCATCAGGGAGGGATTTCAGGTCCCGCTGAGTGCCTGGCCCCAAAAGCACTGCTGCCAGGTGCTGTTGTCCAGCAGCTCGGCAGACCTGCAGGCAATGGCAGGACTGGCCCCTGCGCAATCTTCCCCAAAATATGCACCGTACCCAAATGCGAAATGTAAATGTACAGCCAGGCTTCAGCAGAGTGGCTGAATGCTGTGTGCAGTGCCTGCACTGAGCTCAAACATTGCTTTGCTGTGAAGCTGCGAGGCCCGGCTCCAGGCAGGTGCTGTGCCCTGGCTGAGGGCACGCTCAGCACCTGCACCTGGGGAGCCCTGAGGGCACCGACCCTCACGCCGGGCCGCAGCTCTGACCCGGCCCCTCTGCCCCTGCTCCACAGAGGCTGCAGCAGCTGCTCTTCGGGGGCACGGTGCCCCTCTTCAGCTGCGAGTGGGCAGCGGCGCGCTTCAGCTTCCACCCGCCGCGCTCCCGCCTGGCCTACGCGCTGCAGGCAGCACAGGTGAGCCCCCAACAGCCCCTGCCACGGCTCTGCTGCCACAGGCAGCACAGGTGAGACCCCAACAGCCCCTGCCACGGCTCTGCTGCCACACGCAGCACAGGTGAGCCCCCAACAGCCCCTGCCACGGCTCTGCTGCCACACGCAGCACAGGTGAGACCCCAACAGCCCCTGCCACGGCTCTGCTGCCACACGCAGCACAGGTGAGCCCCCAACAGCCCCTGCCACGGCTCTGCTGCCACAGACAGCGCAGGGGCCGGCAGAGGGGCAGGGACCCCGGCAGCACACACACCTGTGTCCTGCACACCTGTGTCCTGCACACCTGTGTCCTGAACACCTGTACCCTGCACACCTGTGCCCTGCGCATCTGTACTCTGCACACCTGTGTCCTGAACACCTGTACCATGCACATCTGTACCGTGCAGATCTGTACCCCGCACACCTGTACCCCGCACACCTGTGTCCTGAACACCTGTACCCTGCATACCTGTAACCTGCACACCTGTAACCTGCACACACCTGTACTCTACACACCTGTACCTTGCACATCTATACCCCACACACCTGTACCCCGCACACCTGTGCCCCACACACCTGCTCAGGAGAGATGCAGCAGGTTGCAAAAAGCTCATATCTTTTCAGAGAATTAGACTTACCCGATTATTCCTGCTCTACCTAAAAATCCAACAAGTGAAGTCACCTAGACTATAATTTATAATTCTCTGAGATGGAGGTTTTCTTCTTCCTTATTTAACATCACCATGCTGCACCCGCAGCAGAAGGCCAAGATACACACTCGAATTGTAAATCCCCCCACCTTGTCCGGGGGCTGGAACGCTGGCCACGGCCACGGGCGCCACTCCCTGCATTCCAGAGCTCGGTGCTCACGGAGGGAGCACAGCCCGGGTGGGTGAGCACAGCCCGGGTGGGTCAGCACAGCCCTGGAGGGTCAGCACAGCCCTGGTGGGTGCCAGCACGGTGCAGAGCGGGCACAGGCACTCCCGTGTGCAGCCTCACATCAACCCTGGGCTGCCCCAGCGCCTCTGTCCCTTTGCTGTGAGGCCAAAACAAACCTTGGAGCTTCCCAGCACAGAGGGTTCCTGGAGCTGGGGGCTATTCCCTGGCACAGAGGAGGAAAGGAAGGGCACCCACCCACAGCATCATGCACATGGCCAGGGCTACTCTGCAGCTTCCTCTCCTCTCCTCTTGTTGTGCCCCTGGCCAGGGACTACCGGGTGTGACGAGTGCTCCTTCAGACTCCTCAGATGGCAGGGGCTGTTTTTCTGTTCCTAGGGAGGAACAAGAGCCATTCTGGCAGCTGTACAAGCACACATCATCGCATTCCTGCTCTTCACAAGAGAGACAGAATGTACTCACCTGGCAAGGTAAGCTGCTGGGCCTCATGGGATGCATGAAAATGATTTCCATGCATTGCTTGGTCAGTGCCAGCCTCTGGGTTCAGGCAAACCGGACCCAGGTTCAGGTGGGGATATGCACTGGGAGAGAAGCCTTGGCTGACCCCCTGGCAAGGCTGATTCCCCCCAGATCCTCCGATTCTGGGACAGTGGCACGTGCCCCCTCCTGTGTGGTGCCGCAGCCCCTGGTTTCCCCTGGCACAGGCTGCGCCGGCTCGGGCACGGGGAGCAGGGCCGGGCCCTGGCCACGGCCCTGGCAGAGACCCTGTGGGCAGCAGGAGGAGGTGGCAGAGCCGTCGTGTGCCTCGTCACCGCCCCCGTCCCCACGATGCCACGCGAAGGCTGCAGGGCCAACAGCGTCACAGAGAGAGTGAGTATGGAACCGCCTTCTGCCAGCGGGGTTTTCCTTAGAGACACCTTGGCCCAAAACACAGAACCTCCTGCACCTGCCCCCCACCAATGCTGCCCTGCAAACAGGGATCACCCAGAGCCAGGTGTGGCTGCAGCCTGTGACACCTCCGGCTCCCCTTCACCAAACCCACCTTCCTTCTCCTGCAAGCAGGAGAGTCCTGTGAGCACAGAGCGGCTGCCCTGGCTCCCTGCACAGCCAGAGCCCACAGCTGGGCAAGGGGCACAGCAAACCTTTGCGTTGTTCTTGTACTTGACTAACGGAACTTACTTGACTAACGGAGATTCAAAAGCTCAGCTTTTTGTTATAATTCGTGTCTCCTTTGCACCACCCTCACGGCGCCCATGCCCAGCAGATCCGGCTGTTCGAGTTCTCGGAGAAAGCTGCTGCTCAGGAGTTCATCTCTGATCACATAAACTGTGTAAGTGGGGATAACTGCTTTATCCAAGTTATTTTCTTGCTAAATTACATCTTATTTCCCATTCAAATTGGGCATTTTGGACACAGCAGTGTTAACATCATCAGGACATTCACACAGTTAAGGCACAGTTAGTTCATTTCCAGCCCTTCCTATGGGAAGGGATTCTGCTCCCATATAAACCCCTGTGACTTTACCCATTATTCCAGATCTTTCAGCCCACAAACACTGAGTAAACAGGGCAGTACTTTGTACATCATTCAAAGATGTGATTCCTTGCAGCCTCAGAAAAAATATGGGAAAAAATGTACAAAACCCATTTAGCCAATAACTGGAAGTTTCTTCTTTCATTTTTTACCTGAACCTATTAAACAAAGTTAGTTACAAAATCTTCCTGGAATAACACCTTACTTGTCTAACTTAACACACTCACCTAGGGCTGTGTTGAAGCAGAGGAATTGTTTTAATTAAATACTATTTACAGGCCATAATTTCTCCCCTGTGATGCCTTATTTCTTTTTTCAGTTCAGAGGTGAAGGAAGCCATGGAGTGATCCTATTTTTATACAGTTTACTTTTCTCTAGGACACTTGAAAGGTATATTTTGCTTTTTAAACATTTTCCTGTATTTGGTTATATCTCCTGAAAGGCCTTTTCCTTTCCTCCCATTTCTGGTGGCCGGGCAGGGAGGTGCAGTGTTGCCTCTGGCACGGGCCCAGCGCTGCCCTGATGGTCTCTGCTTGGCCACACAGGGTCCAAGAGGACTTGGGTGACGCAGCTCCTCTGTTGAACATCAGCGCTGGAAACATCACCTGTACGGAGGTAGGATCAGACACATGTCTCAAGCGTTCTGGTTTTATTATTCCCACATCCAGTTTAGGAAAAAAAATATCACTTGATAATTAATCCAAAGAAAAAATAAGCCTAAGTTCATAAAAAAAAATTTGCAACTTTAATCATGACTGAGGACTTAAAAAACAGGTGATGATGATGATGATGATGATGATGATGATGATGATGATGACGGTAACAATAATTTCTAAAATGCCACTGGCAGCCCGGCATTGCCACAAGCTGGGAGCAGGCCACGGCCTGCGCGGGCGTTTGCCGGTGTGCCCGGTGCGAGCGGGCCGTTTCCCGCAGGCCGTGCTCAGCCTGCTCCTGACGGGCCGGGCGAGCCCGCGGCAGCTCGGCGGCGGCGGCGGCGGCGGCGGCGGGCGGGAGCCGGAGCCCGGCGCTGGGGACGGCGGAGGCGGCGGGGCGGCGGGGCCGCGGGGCCGCGTGGGCTTCCTGCGCTGGGAGCGGGCGCGGCGGCAGCGGCAGGTGAGGGCAGGGCACAGAGCGGGCAGCGGGACCCCCCGGCACAGCCCAGGTGAGGGCAGGGCACAGCCCAGGTGAGGGCAGGGCACACAGCGGGACCCCCGCGGCACAGCCCAGGTGAGGGCAGGGCACAGAGCGGGCAGCGGGACCCCCCGGCACAGCCCAGGTGAGGGCAGGGCACAGAGCGGGACAGGGCACAGCCCAGGTGAGGGCAGGGCACACAGCGGGACCCCCGCGGCACAGCCCAGGTGAGGGCAGGGCACAGAGCGGGACAGGGCACAGCCCAGGTGAGGGCAGGGCACACAGCGGGACCCCCGCGGCACAGCCCAGGTGAGGGCAGGGCACAGAGCGGGACAGGGCACAGCCCAGGTGAGGGCAGGGCACAGAGCGGGACCCGGCACAGCCCAGGTGAGTGCAGGGCACAGAGCGGGACCCGGCACAGCCCAGGTGAGGGCAGGGCACAGAGCGGGACCCGGCACAGCCCAGGTGAGCGCAGGGCACACAGCGGGACCCGGCACAGCCCAGGTGAGGGCAGGGCACACAGCGGGACCCCCGCGGCACAGCCCAGGTGAGCGCAGGGCACAGAGCGGGACCCGGCACAGCCCAGGTGAGCACAGGGCAGCCCCACGGGCAGTGGGACCCCCAGGCTCCCGACAAGTGTCCCCCTGCCAGGTGAGCCCCGGGCTGCGGACGCCCCGGCTGCCCGTGTGGCTGTGCAGCCTCTCGGGCAGGCTCAGCGTGCTCTTCGGCACCGACAGCCGCCTGCTCTCCGACTGGAAAGCCGAGAGAATTTTCCACCTGTACTTCTACAGTGGGCAGCAGGAGCAGACCCAAACTGCCCGCCTGACGATAGGTACGGACCCAGATTTACCAGGGACTGAGGTGTGGGCAGCACAGATAACTCGTTCCTGCATTAAACACTCAATACAAACTTTGAACGTACCAGGAAGCTGGACTGTTTCATGATTAGTTCAACATTTATAATAACATTCTCTCCAGCTGCCGGGGTTTTACCCCACCCAGGCCTCAAGCCCCGTGCAGCTGCTCACTCACTCCCCCACCCACAGCATCAGGGAGGGAATTGGAAGGGTGGAAGCTAAAGAACTTGTGGGTCCACATAGAGACAGGGTAATAAGAAAAGCAAAAGCCACACACACAAGCCAAGGAAAATAAAGAATGAATTTGCTTCCTCCATAGGCAGGCAGGCGTTGCAGGGCCCATCACACACAGCAGTGACTTGGGACGACAAACACCATACTCAAAAGGCCTTTCTCTTCCCTGCCCCCAGTTCATATACTGAGCATGATGCCACAGGGTCTGCAATACCCCTTTGATCGTTCTGGCTCCTCTGTCCTGGCTGTGCCTTCTCCCAGCCTGCCACGCACTCCCACCCTCCTCAGCAGCGTGGCAGCAGGTGGGAGCAAACAGGCCTTGGCTGTGGGGGCACTGCCAGGAGGAACAAAATCACCTCTGTGCAATCAGCCCTGTGCTCAGCACAAAGCCACAACACAGCTCCATACCAGACACTGGGAAGGCAATGAATTCTATCCCAGACAAAACCTGCCCACCAAGGCAGCGAGGCTGGCACGCAGCAGGGCCACCTGCCTGGCTCAAGTCTGTCCTCCTGCCCAGCACCAGCTGCCACCACAGCCCTCGTGTTCCCCACCGAGTTTCATATCCCCTCAGGAGGGACGAACTGCTGCTGTAGCAACGCTTGGGTTGTGAACCAGGCTTTGTGCTTGGGGTGCAAGGTTCGTGTTTCTCTGCTGCTGTGCATCACTTACCTTCCTCACTGGGTGCCTCCTTCCTTGCTCTCCTTTCACTGCAGCATTTAAAGCAAAGTCAGAACCTTGAAATTAAAGGGTAAATCTGCAAGGAAGCAGAGTGATTTGAGATAACTGTCATGATACCTGGTGTGGCCACAGATGCTATCTGAGCATCTGCCCAGAAACGCAGTATGCAAACACTGTTTGCATATCAAACACTGTTTGCAATCATGCAAGGAGCTGCACCCAGAGCAGCAGAATTTCCCGGGGGGCCCTCGGTGCAGGGGCAGTCCCCAGCCCGGGAGGCCCTGCTCAGCCTCCACCTGCTCCCTGGGGCAGGATGGCAGCACATCTACACCAATGCAGCTGCAGAGGCTTCTGCTTTTAGCTGTCACTGAAGCCTTTTTGAGTGGGGTTGGGTTGTTAAGATTTTTTTAGACATTTATTTTTCACTTCCTCTTCAGACACTCATTCGCATCACTGGGAAGAGGCTCAGAGGGAAGGCCCCTGCAGCCCAGGGAGGAGGCGCCCAGCCCTGGAGATGGCAATCAGGACCAAGTGGCCAGGAGCGACCGTCAGCTGGAACGGGACAGACCCCTTCTTCTGAGGAGGGAGCAGGATGGGCCCCTGCTCCTGCCGGGCACTGCCATCTCCCACACGCCACCAGCTGCGCTGGGCACTGCACTCCGGAGGACAAAAAGCTCTCTCCAGTCAAACAGCCTTTGGTGCGTTGAAGCGACACCTTGTCCACAAGGCATCACACCCACTGCAGAAGCGTGCGCTGCAGGAACAGCGACTTGCAACCCTGTCCCACTGCACGCCTTTTCCAGTGGTAGGATGCAGGTTCTCCTGCTCCCCACGACGGCTGGCAGGAAAAGGAAAGAGTAAAGTGCTGGCAAAGATGCCATGGCAGTGGTGGAGTCTCCATCCCTGGAGGGACTTAAAAGCTGTGCAGATGTGTGATTTGGGAACATGTTTAGTGGTGGCCTTGGCAGTGCTGGGGTAGTGGTTGAACTTACTGGTCTTAGAGGGCTTTTTCAACCCAAACTGCTCTGGGGCTCTGCGGTTCAGTGATTTTACTGCCTTTGCCAAATCCTGGCACCCTACGTTCACCTGACAAGCACGGGCAGGGCATATTGCTTCTAGCTGACAGAAACCACTGTCCACTTCCTTTTTCATTGTCATCACACCAGAACGACCTGTAAGTCACACCCTTACCATGTTGCTAACAACAATTGAGAACAATAAACCTTCTGCAAGTGATCCAGAAACTTGGTTCCGATTTATTGAATTTTACGAAAAACAAAAAGAAGCCGCGGCACCCGGCCCGAGATTATGCTGGGCCGGGATGAGGAGATGCTGGTTACAGCAGACTGGGGTCTGCGATCGCGCTGCGGGGCCGCGGCTCAGCCCCGGCGCTGCGGGCCCCGCGCACCCGCAGCTCCCGCCGCACCGGGACAGGGGCCAGGGCCGCGGGGCATGCACGGGCGCGGTGTGGGGCACGGGCCCGGCGAGGGGCACGGGCCCGGTGCGGGGCACGGGCCCGCCGAGGGCGGGCAGTCCCGCTATGGGGCACGCTCCCGGTGAGGGGCTGGCAGGGCACGGGGCCGGTAAAGAGACACGGTGCCGCGGAGGAGACACGGTGCCGCTGAGGGGCTGACAGGACACGGTGCCGCTGAGGGGACACGGTGCCGGTAAAGGGACACGGTGCCGGTAAAGGGACCCGGTGCCGCGGAGGAGACACGGTGCCGGTAAAGGGACCCGGCGCCGCCGAGGGGCTGACAGGACACGGTGCCGGTAAAGGGACACGGTGCCGGTATAGGGACACGGTGCCGGTAAAGGGACACGGTGCCGGTATAGGGACACGATGCCGGTAAAGGAACACGGTGCCGATAAAGGGACACGGTGCCGGTATAGGGACACGGTGCCGGTAAAGGGACACAGTGTCGGTATAGGGACACGGTGCCGGTAAAGGGACACGATGCCGTTGAGGGGACACGGCGCCGGTAAAGGGACACGGTGCCGGTAAAGGGACACGGTGCCGGTACAGGGACACGGCGCCGGTAAAGGGACACGGTGCCGCTAAAGGGACACGGTGCCGGTATAGGAACACGGTGCCGGTAAAGGGACACGGTGCCGGTACAGGGACACGGCGCCGGTAAAGGGACACGGTGCCGCTAAAGGGACACGGTGCCGGTATAGGGACACGGTGGCACTAAAGGGACACGGCGCCGCTAAAGGGACACGGTGCCGGTATAGGAACACGGTGCCGCTAAAGGGACACGGTGCCGGTACAGGGACACGGCGCCGGTAAAGGGACACGGTGCCGGTATAGGGACACGGTGCCACTAAAGGGACACGGTGCCGGTATAGGAACACGGTGCCGGTAAAGGGACACGGTGCCGGTACAGGGACACGGCGCCGGTAAAGGGACACGGTGCCGCTAAAGGGACACGGTGCCGGTATAGGGACACGGTGCCACTAAAGGGACACGGTGCCGGTAAAGGGACACGGTGCCGGTACAGGGACACGGTGCCCGTATAGGGACCCGGTCCCGCGGAGCAGACGCTCCCGCGCAGCGCCGGCAGCCCTGGGCGGGCCCGCGCGGGGCACGCCGGGAGCGGGGCGGGGGCCGCGCGCAGCCGCCGCTCGCCCAGCGCCGCCCCGTCCATCATCATCCTCCTCCTCCTCCTCCTGTGCCACCGCCTCCGCCCCGTCCCCAGCGCGGCCCGATGGTGGCGGCGGTGGCGAGGCGCGATGAGCCGCCCGTCCTCCGCCGGCCCCGGCCCTAGCAAGCCTTGCGGAAAGCAGCAGCAGCACGCCCCGTCCCCTGCCGCCGTCCTGCCGGGCACCGGCGGGGCTTCTCCGCCGCCTCCCCCTCCTCCTCCTCTTCCTCCCCCCCAGCAGCAGCAGCAGCAGCAGCAGCAGCAGCAGCAGCAGCAGCAGCAGCAGGAGCTGACCTCGCTCTTCGAGTGCCCCATCTGCTTCGACTATGTCCTGCCGCCCATCCTGCAGTGCCAGGCCGGGCACCTGGTGTGCAAGCAATGCCGGCAGCAGCTGAGCCTCTGTCCCACCTGCCGGGGCTCCCTCACCCCCAACATCAGGAACCTGGCCATGGAGAAGGTGGCCTCGGCTGTCCTCTTCCCGTGCAAGGTAAGGATGAGGGGCTGGGCAGGGGGACGGGCCCGGACCACCCCCGATCCCTGCACTCCTGCAGCATCACCCCGATCCCTGCACCCCTGCCGAAACCCCCAGGCATCACCCCGATCCCTGCACCCCTGCCGAAACCCCCAGCCATCACCCCGATTCCTGCATCCCTGCTGAAAACCCCCAGGCATCACCCCCACATCCATGTCCCCAGACCACCCCCCACACCCCCCTGCAAAGGACACTCACCCACCACCCCAGTTGTTGAAACTAGAATCCTCTGTTCTTTTTAAAGAAAAGGAATATCCAAGCCAGGACCTCTCCAGCTGATCTGGACGGATCAGGTCTAACTGCAGCAGCAGATCTAAATACAACTCAGCCATACAGCCCATTTTATCTAAGTGCTTGTGTTAGGAAAAAACAACCACAAAAGACAAGAAGAATCCATTTTAAGTGGAAACAAAAACTAAGTAAAGCTCAGCTTGAATCCAGGGCTCCGTACAAGTAATGTAATATTTGCAATGAGCACGGGAGCTCTGGTTGATCACCTGTGTTTGCAGCTGACGGGTGGGAGCAGCGCCTGCCAGTGCTGGTGCCTTTCCTGACGGCTTGTGTTTGGTCTCTTTCCAGTATGCCACGACAGGCTGCTCCCTGACCCTCCACCACACAGAAAAGCCAAAACACGAAGCCATCTGTGAGTACCGTCCCTACTCCTGCCCGTGCCCCGGTACCTCCTGTGACTGGGAGGGGTCCTTGGAAGCCGTGATGTCCCACCTCATGCATGCCCACAAAAGCATTACCACCCTTCAGGGAGAAGACATCATTTTCCTTGCCACAGACATTAACCTGCCAGGGGCGGTGGACTGGGTGATGATGCAGTCGTGCTTCGGTCACCACTTCATGCTGGTGCTGAAGAAGCAGGAGAAGTGCGAAGGCCACCAGCAGTTTTTTGCCACCGTGCTGCTCATCGGCACCCGCAAGCAGGCGGAGAGCTTTCAGTACAGACTGGAGCTGCACGGCAGCTGCCACCGGCTGACCTGGGAGGCGTCTCCCTGCTCCATCCACGACGGCGTGCTCGTGGCCATCCGCAACAGCAACTGCCTCGTTTTTGACACGGCCACCGCGCACCTCTTTGCTGACAGCGGGAACCTCGGCATCAACGTCACCATTTCTATGTGCTGCCCGTGATGCATTGCTGGCAGGCTCGAGCTGGCTGGAGGCAGTGCTGCACTGGGGTTTGGTTTCGGTTCCTGTTTTTTACGCTGTTCAACTGTGTCATCTTGTATGCTAAGGTTTCTGACTAGCCAGCGGTTGCAACTTTGGGCAGAAGAGGAACAAGAGTGTGCTGTGAGTAATGTGAGCAGGACAAGGTCTTTTAAAATTCTTGGGTGCCTTAGGAAGATTACACACACAGTTACCTTTTATAATTTAATTATATTTTATGTGAAGAGTGCTTCCATTGGATATATGGCTTAAGAGGCTCCAGTTTGGAGCATACCTATAAGCCTTTTCATCAGCAGTACAGACTCCCTCTGATGCTGGTGAGCTTTAAGAAAAGGTTTTAGTATCACAAGAGGGTTTGGTTTGGAAGAGACTATCATCTGTTCCAATCCCCCTGTCATGGACAGGGACACCTTCCACTGTCCCAGGCTGCTCCCAGCCCTGTCCAGCCTGGCCTTGGGCACTGCCTGGGATCCAGGGGCAGCCCCAGCTGCTCTGGGCACCCTGTGCCAGGGCCTGCCCACCCTCCCAGGAACAATTCCTTCCCAATATCCCATCCCACCCTATCTGCTGGCAGTGGGAAGCCAGTCCCCCTTGTCTGTCACTCCAGGCCCTTGTCCAAAGTCCCTCTCCAGCTCTCTTGTAGCACCTTTAGGCACTGGAAGGAGCTCTAAGTTCTCATGATTTACCCTTAGTGAAGCCATGTTGGCTATCACCAATCACCTCCTTATTTTCCATGTGCCTTAGCATAGCTTCCAGGAGGATCTGCTCCAATCTCTTTCCAGGCACTGAGGTGAGACCTGACCACCTGTAGCTCTGGATCTTCCTTTTTCCTCTTTCTAACAGAAGAGGGTTATGTTTCCCTTTCGAAGTCAGCAGGAACTCCTCTGGACTGCCTCAACTTCTCAAACACGATGGATGATGGTGGCCAAGCCACTTCCTCCACCAGTCCCTCTGAACCTGCAGGTGCATCTCATTAGGTCCCATGGACTTGTGCACCTTCAGGTCCCTTCGACCTCCTCGAGCCCACTCCTCCCCTGCTGCGGGCAGTTCTTTGTTCTCCCGCCCTCTGCCTTTGCCTCCTGCGACTTGGGCAGAGTGGCTGGAGCAGCTTGCCACGAAGGCTGAGTCAGAAACACGGCCGAGTACCTCAGCCCTCTGCACGTCCCAGGGAACTGGGGCTCCCATTTCCTTCCTTAGAGGGTCCACCTTCTCCCGAGTCTTCCTTCTATCACCCGTGTACCTATAGAGGTTGCTTTGCTTGTTGCCCTTGATGCCCCTGGCCAGATTTAATTCTTTCAGGCTTTAGCATTCCCAACCTGATCCCTGGCTGCTCACAATCCTCCCTGGCTGCCTGTCCTTTCCTGATAGGTGAGAAAGGAAAGAAATCCAAGGAACCTGTCACAGGAGAAGCTGAGGGGGGAACAGTAGGTACGTCAGCAATGTTTCTCCATTCCCTGCTACCTTACGGAAGGGAAGGGCACTGGGTCAGCTGTGGTGGCGGCTTCAACAGGAAAAAGGAGAGAAGGGGCTGGGGTATGGCATGGTACATTTCACATGGAATTGCTGCCTCCTCTCTGCTTTAGGGGGATCAGGCCAGGTACAGGTGCAAGCAGGAGGCACAAGTCCCACAGACTGCAGATGGATGGAGCCAGAGACACAGGGTTGTCCTCGTGCAGCTGCCCTGGGACACATTCTACTATTGATTATTGTAAAAGATTCATAATATAGCAAGAGCTTTATGGCCAGTGTCTTGTCATTTGGTATTTAAGTTTTGTTGCCATATTTCTTTTATTTTGCAATAAATATTTTGCCAAACCTGTGCTGAGGAGCTGTGCTAACCCACGAGTGCTCCGCGGTTACGCCGCGGGCTCGGCCGTGCTGGATCGGCCGGGATCCCCTGGCATGGGCTGGCTCTCCTGGAGGGGTCCTTGCCCCTGGCACCGTGCTGGCACCGCAGCTGACTCTGCCTGCAGCTCCCAGCTCTGCCACGGGGTCGTTGTGCCTGAATCACTGACAGCAAACCTCCCGTAGGCTGTGCCAGACCTCGTCCCTGTGCGTGCCCTTTGGAGCAGGCAGTGAGCCACGGGGTGATGCTGCCAGGGGAAGCCTCACAGGAGTGGAAAATGGCAGGGAAAGGGTGAGACTCGGTGTGAATAAATACAATACAAACGAGGAAAACCAGTCCTGACTGTTCCTCCTGGGAGAGCTCTATGTCCAAGCCCATAGCAGCCATCACCAGCCCTCAGAAAAGTGCACAAGGACAAGTTCAGCCTCAGTGAAGGGAGGCTTAGTCTGGCTGCAAGAACTTGCAAGTAGCCATGGAAAAAACCTCCCAAGGATTTACTCTCTAGGCACTGAACACCAACAATTAAAGATTCTACACCTGGTCTCACACTGGGCTCTGGCAGAACTCTGGCCTGGTGAACTAATTGCCTCCTGCATAAGCAGGATCAAAGTCATGCCATGGTTCCAACACCTGTTACCACCTGTGCTTTCATCAGGATGCATCAAGCAAGAATTCCTAAGGATTTGATTAACTTTTCTGTAATTCAGCAGAACTTGTAGCGGAAGGTAATTTTCTTACTGACAGCTGGGACATAAGAGGATTTTTGCTTAAAGCAGAATTCCAGAGTGTGTCTTTGAATACAGCAGGATTAATTACTCCAGTGTTACCTATAATCCACATTAGATAAGTTAACACATGTTATCATTAGGTCTGTCCAGACCGCTCAGTTCTGAAGAAGTGGCAAACTCTTGTTAGATTTCACTTCAAAAAAACCCACACAAAATAAACCCATCACCTTGTGTCTTTTCTGACTGAAATTGAGTTTAGGATAAGGAATACCTCACCTGGCACTGCCAAGAAGGGAGGTGTTTCCAGTTCAGGTCATTGAGCAGACAAGTGACATTCATTTCAGGATTCCCTCAGGTTTCAGGTTTTCTTCCCAAGGCAGCTGATACGACTTGCCAAGTAAAAGTTCCCCAAGACATTGAGGTTATTGAGGCCTGCCTGGTTCTCCGAATAGAGCTGACCCCTCTCAAGCCCTCAGACTTGAAAGGGAGGGTGAAGCACATCCAGACGGAGCTCGCAGCAGACAGACCTGCATGCTGGACAGAGCCCCAGCCAGGTGCCCTGCAGACCCTTGGCTGCTCTCCAGCCCACCAGGAGCACCTGCTGTGGATCTAGAGTTCTCCCTAGAAACTATTTCCACTTCAGACAGAAATTAAAATGCGCCTGTCCAGGGACTGATGAGTTTAGAGCAAGCATAGCTCAGCTCGAGGGCCTGCCCCAGCCGTGCTGTCGGGACCGTGGAAGTGATCTCGCAGCGCTGTGGGGAGTTCAGGTGAGCCCCCGAGACACTGGCCGCACCTCGACATGCTCTTTCTGTCTGAAAAGTACGTGAAACCGACTTCTCCGTTGTGGAAGTAAGACATTCCGAATTCTTACCGACAGCACAGGTAAGGTAGCACACACCTGCTCTCCCGAGGGGAATCCAAACCTGGCTGGGTTTGTGCAAGACGGTTTTCTCTCTTTTATTCTCCGAGCTGTATGTGCAGATTCCTTGGAGAGGTTCGACAGCGCCAAGTCCTACGGGAGAGATCGGGAACATGTGTGACAAGCGTGTGACACAGGTGTAAGGAATCCACTCGGGCAGGTGTTCCAGGTGCAGACAGGTCGTGTCCGAACAGGCAGTCACGCCGGGTTTGGTAACGCGTGTCACCCCCAGTCCGGCTCCAAGCTGCGCCGGGGCTCGGCAGGCGCGGAGCGCCGGGACGGCGGGACCAGGACCGAGCGCGGCGGGACCAGGACCGAGCGCGGCGGCTCGGGGCCCCGCCAGCACCACAGGCCCCGCCAGCACCAAGGGCCCCCGCCAGCACGACGGGTCCCCGCAGCCCCGCGCAGCCCGGGCGCCTCCGGCTGCCCCGTTAGAGCCGCCCCGGCTCCGCTCCCGGCCGTGGGCCCCGGGCGGTGCGGCCGGCACAGCGCCCGCAGCCCCGCCGAGGCGGGCACGGGGAACGGAGCAGCCGCAGCTGCCGCCCGGAGGAGCAGCGCCGCGGGGCAGCGGCGGCCCGGCCAGAGCCGGGCACCGGGCGGAGCGGCGGGGCCGGGCACCGGGCGGGGATTGGGCCGGGGCCGGGGCTGGGGCGGGGCCGAGCACCGGCCGGGGCCGGGCGGGGATTGGGCCGGGGCCGGGGCTGGGGCGGGGCCGAGCACCGGCCGGGGCCGGGCGGGGATTGGGCCGGGGCCGGGGCTGGGGCGGGGCCGAGCACCGGCCGGGGCCGGGCGGGGATTGGGCCGGGGCCGGGGCCGGGGCTGGGGCGGAGCCGCCCCGCGCGGTCCCGGCGTGCCCCGCGCCCCCCGCGTCGCCCTGGAGACGGCGGCGCAGCGGGCCGGGCATGGACGGGCCGGGCCGGGCCGCGGAGCCCAGCGCAGGGGCGGACGATGCGGCGGGCGGGCCCCGCTGGCCCCCGGCCCCCGAGGAGGGCGCGGAGCCCCTGGCAGAGCCGCTGTGCGCGACACCCCCCGGGACACCCCCGGCCGGCCCGCAGCCGACCCCCTCCCCCACGGTCCTGCCCACCCTCCTGGCCTACAGACCCGAGTCCTCAGAGACAAACGTACACCACGAGGTCAGTTGGGGTGGGCGCTCCCCGCTGCTTCATGCACACGGTTCCACGTGGAAAACAGGGAACCGACGCCCTTTGCCGAGCCCGCAAAGGAGCCCCTTCATGACAGGTTTTTCTTCTGCGAGGCTGTTGGAACAGCCTGGGCAGCAAGAGGCTATGCACCCACCCCCGCTGCATCCTCTGTTGAGAATTTCCCAGCAGAATCAGACAAAAAATGTATATAAATAGATACAGCCACCTAATACAAGCAGGGCACAGAGTTCCCCGTAGCAGAGCAAAGTTACCAAAGAGTTAACTCAAGGCATGAGGTGGGGAGCAATTTTGTTTCAGGACATCAGTACTCGTCCTCAAAGCACAACCTGCTGTCAGCCTGGTTTGCATCTGGTCAGATGTGACCAGCTCTGTATCACCAAGTCTGCTGGTGCTTCCTCAGAAACTCCCACAACTGGAGTTTTTCTCTCTGTAATGCACTCAAATCCTCAGCTCCAGTGTTCTGTGCTCTCAGCTTCCCTGGGAAGGAGCAGAACTCACAAATACCAATCATTCCCTTCGTTTGGGGGCATCTATTGATTTATTTATAATACATCTGCTATTCTCTTTGGTGGTTTCCTGAACCTAATGTTTTGAGTCATTCCAAGATTTCCCAGACGTGGATCTGTTGTGAGTGCCCTTAGGTGCTTTGTCACATGTGTTGCATTTTCACCGTGCTAACCGGGGATCTGGGCGCTGGTGCCCCTCATCCCCTCACCATCGCTGCAGGCAGAGGAGGATGCTGAGCCAACCTGCGAGTACTGTGGCAACCTGCTGAGGCCGTTCCCCTTCTCCCAGGATGTGCCTCTCTCCGAGGACCAGGAGGACGTAAGCTGGCAGGGAGGATGAGCAGGGGTTTGCTGGGGAACAGCCACGCTCACGGCTCTGCTCTCTCACCTCTAGAAATTCTGCTGCAAGCGCAGCCGGGAGCTCTATGAGTTCATCATGAAGGAGAAGAAGAGGCTCGAGGATGCCAGCAGCCTTCCCAGAGCTGTCAGCACCCAGGAATCCCTCAGCTCTGAAGCCAACCTGCTGCTGTCAAAGGAGCAAGACAGCCAGAGGTACTGGGAGGACTGGGGATCGGGTCTGTGTAATGAACAACAGGGAGTTTGAGGGGGAAAAGAGCGTTAAGAAACTGCAGGGAGAGGAACGAAAGAAGAGAAACCTTTGCTTTAGGCACCAGTCCTGATTCTCTCCGGTCCCTCCTGGCTCCTCTATTGCCAGGCTGCACAAGGAGGTGGCAAGGCATGTGCTGAGTGAAATGTTAATTCCAATCCTGACAGATGAACTATCTAGAGACAGGTAGAGCCAAAAAAACCCACAGCTGTGGGAAGGGACAGTATTTGGGTGTAGCTTCTACCTCTGGCACTGAAATAAAGCTGGTGTTTGTATTTCTGTTTTGATCTATAAACTGTGTTTGGATTACAGTTTCCAGAGTCACACACAAGAACTCTGCACGTTCTCAGGCTGTTTAGCAGGAGACCCAAAGCTTGTGCAAGAGTTTAAGCCTCCAGGGAAAGTCTAAGCCACAGGTGTACTAGTTTAGTTTTCCTTTTCCCTAAAGGAAAAGGAAAACTAAACCAGTACACCCGGAAGTAAACTGTTGGTCTCCTCAAAAATCCTTCACAGTCTGAGGGTGCAAGTGCCTCCTACTATGTACAGAGCACACACCAAGCCACTGTCAGATTCATAGGAAGCTACACAATAGTGAAAATATTCTTGGAGATGAGCTGTTTTCTTGATCTTGTGGCATATGTCCTTCTCTTTCACATGAAATACTGATCCAAACCCCATTACAGTATTCAGCTCTCCTTCCAGCAGAGCTGATGCCACTGCAGTGGCAGTCTGTTCACTGGAATCTGTGTGGGCACAATTCCTTTCTGTTGAGGTATGAGTATTTTGGTGACATTCTGCTGCTTATTACTTGGAATTGTGAGCAGGGAGAAAAACAGATTCAGAAATTGTGTTCCTAAAGCAGGGGTATCCACTACTTGCAGCTTTCTAAACATGATACGTGAGGTGTCAACAACACTTCTATTTTCCAGGCAGCAGAAGAGACACCTGGCTAGAGAGTTGGCTGACCAGTCTTTAAGGCTGAGTGCCACTAAAGGTGAGCTGGTATTTCCTTATGGATTTGTCTATTTATCTCAACAGTGCATTCAGTGGAATTGCTGGTTTCCAACTTGGGGATTTTATACAGCGACATGTTCATTCATTGTCAGACATGCAATCTCAGTAAATTAGATACAAATCATCCCTCATACATGAGCACAAGAGGAGGCACATCTTTGCACAGAATTTGTCATGATTTTCAATATGTATCTGTGATGTTTCCAGCTGAGATGCACAGAACCTGACCTGAGCAGCTAAGCTGGCAAAGCCAAGCCCTTAGGAAATAGGAACTGCCAAAATGAGTCTTGGCCATATTTTGCCCGATCAGGTGGTTATTCCACCAATTCCTAGCCCAGGCTGTAGATGACTGAGCAGCCTTTGGATAGAGGAGTTTTGACAGGTGAACCAGGTTTTCAATATGGGCATGTTTTCAGAGAGGATGGCAGGGCAGTGAGGCTTCTGCAGCACTGGGATCTCAAACAGTCAGTTCCAGTGTGCGGAGCCAAATGTTATCCCAAAAAGTTGCTCTTTACACAAATGTGTGTATATATGTAACTGAAAAAAATGCTATCTTTTATCATAATCCCGTGCTCTGAAATAGCTGAGCACTTTGGACTGCCCTTGTTAGAAAATAGCCCGAGACAGACTGTGAGGAGGGAGTGTTTCAGCCAGGAACTCCCACTCCCCCAGTTACAGCAGCGGTGTCGGGCAGCCCCGCGGTGGGCGCTGCCGACCCTCTCTGCTGCACAGAGCCCTCCCTGTGCCCTGCAGGGTTGCAGCAGGCTGGATCCGCTTCCCACAAGCCTTCCCAGGAACGCACGTCTCCCAAAGGCGGGACACCGGCGCCTCCTGCAAGCGCAGCCAAGCACCAGCCCTGGGCCAAGGAGAAGCACAAGCTCGGACCCGAGCCCTGGCCCGATGACGAGAAGCCTGAACTAGAATCCCAGCCCAAAGAGGAGCCTGAACTGGAATTCCAGCCTAAGGAGAAACCTGAACTGGAACCCCGGCCCGAGGAGGAGCCTGAGGAAGAGCCCCAGCCCGAGGAGGAGTCTGAGCTGGAGCTTTGGCCTGAGGAGGAGCCCGAGCTGGAGAACGAGCCCGAGCTGGAGAACGAACCCAAGTCCCAGCCCGAAGAGGAGCGTGAGTCCAAGAAAGAGCCCAAGCACGACAAGAAGCCCGTGTCCCGCAGCGTCCTCTGCTACGAATTCAGTCTTCTGGGGAAGAAGGCAGGTACCCGCGGCCGACAGCGACGGGAGCACCTTGGACATGTCAGCGCTGGCAGAGCCTGGCAGTGCCCATTTTCACAGGGCAGCTGTGCCAGACCGCTCTCATCCGTTTTATCCTTCCAATCTTAGGTGGGGAAGGGTAAACTGGTGCAGAAGTACTACAAAAATGGAAAGAAATTCCTTACCATGCTCCCAGACGGAACATCGCAGTTATTGTATCCTTTACAGGGTTCACTTGCCTGCCTTAGTCCAGGGCTGTTGCTAATTTAAGTGTGTCCCAGTCTGCTTTATTACAACCCAGCTCATCGATCCCACTTGCTCTGAGGAGCAGCAGCAGTGAAACTTGACACAGCTCCCAAGCTGAGGTTTCAAAGAACAGCCAGCTCCAATGAGCACTAGCTTCCAAGACCCAGTCCAAGGAAGCAGCACACTTTTAACACCGTGCTCTGGGTAATATATCAGTTTTTACACTCCAAAGTAGTACCCAGAAGTATTTAGTGTGTAATAACAGATCAACCAAGCAAAGCAGGGGGTTACAAACACCTTACCTAGCGGCAGCTATCCATCTGGAAACCTGGCCATCATCATTGCACAGGCCACAGACCAGCTGATGTGCATAGTACAGGAAGACGAGCCAAGGACAGCCAAAATCCGAGCACTGTTTCAGTCTGATGGCAGGAGCACATGCTATTACCCTTCCGGAGATGAGTGGTGCGTTCAGCAGCTTTGCTGTCTCCTCTGTGCATTGACATCCCAAAGGCCATAAAGGCTATTTTTAACAGTATCCAAAAATAGACAAATTCAGCAGCTCATAGGCCCTGCTTCAGGTGCCCCCAGAGCAGCAAGGCCACCCAGCTGTGCCTTGAGAGGTGGGGAACAGACCCTGCCCCTGCTGTGCCTCTGTCCCATCCCTCAGAGGAGTAAGAGACCTTCTGCCACAAGAACTTACAGGGTTCAGAGCTTCCATTTCCCTTTCTTTAGGATAAATATGAGTACGCAGGGTGGGCAGTATTTGGACCAAGCAGGCAACAGGGTAAGAAGGTGGATGTGGCCAAACTTGTTACCAGAGCCCCAGGTCCCACTGAGCCCCATTTTCATCTCACTGAACCACTACGTGGGGGTCAGGATCCTGGCCCAGGACAAGATCTTCGTCTCCTTCCTCGCCATGGGGCGACAAGCAAAACTCAACATGGGAACCAAAGTGCAGGTAATTGTTCCTGTGCTGAGCCACTCCCCACAGCGGGAGCGGGGCAGCCAGGGAAGCTCCCCTCCCTCTGTGCTTATCCTGTGGCGATGCTCCCTATGTTGTCCCATGCTCCGTCCCCAAAAAGAAAGCTGTGGAGATGCACATATTCCTGCCACTCCCATGGAGATGGGACACTTGCCAGCCCCAGCTCTCTGCAAGGGGCCACAGTGTGGGACTCCACTCCCAGGCAGATGCCTGGCAACATCCCCAAGGTCACCCTGGCTCTGATCCATGTGGGCAGGGTGCACAGCAGCTCCTTTCCTCCGCAGGCTCCTGTCCCCGGGGCAGGTTTGTCTGCTGGAGACGAAGCCCCATGCCCAGCTCGGGTGGCTCTGCTGACACGTGTCCTCTGTTCTGCAGGTCAGCACTGACAGCCAGCTGCCTCCTCCAGCCCGGCTGGGTGAGGATGAGCTGCTGCTGCTCGCCTTCCGCGTGAAGATCCTGCAGCTCTTCGACAGGATGCGGGGCTGCCTCACCTTCCCCTCCAGTGAGCAGTGGAACAAAATGCAGCCTCCCATGTACCTCATCAGCCAGGCTGTGAAGATCCTGGAGCTCTGCGTCACTGCTGACATAAGCGATGAGCTGGCCAACTCCATCAAGGCGATAGTAAATGCCCAGCAGTTCTGACCAGTGTGTGTGTGGTGTGAGGTGTCCCTGACACTGTGGCACCTGCATGTGCTCAGCAAGGTTTCCCCTCCAGCCCTGCCTGCCCTGGTGCAGAGCAAAGGGCAGTCCAGGGCTGATCCACACAGCCCCAAATGGGTCTTGCCCAGGGCAGGCGGTAGCAGCCCGCAGTGACAGCACCTTGGTCATGGAGGCACAGGAGGGCTTTGCTCAGGCAATCCCGTGCTCCACAGCAGAGCACTGCTCCTGAGCAGGCTCCCTTCTGTCTGCAGCCCCAGCTGAGCACTCCCCTCAGCCCTCGGGCAGGCACAAAGGCACAGCTACACGGGCACTGCTCTGCCGCTCCTGACAAGAAGGTGGAATCGGCAGGAAGCCCCAGGTGTTCCTGGTGCCCACGCCCACGGCAGCTCAGCCAGCTGCAGGTACAAGGCAAGGTGGTTCCCTGCACAGAGAGCGACAAATGCCCTCAGAGTGCCCAAGGCAATCACCTGTGCTCGGCCCAGGGAGCAGCAGCTGCAGCCTGGGACGGGCCCTGGTTCAAGCACTGCAAACAGAGCTGTCAGCGGGTGTTTAGAGGCTCGTGGTGCCGCAGTCAGCCTCTCAGAGCTGCCTCTGAGACCAGGGGTTCACCTGGCCAGCTTCCCCCACGGAGGCCACACCTGAACTGTGGCAGGTGCCTGAAGGATAAGACCGTGCCCCATGTGCCCCTCCCCACACTGGAGGTTCTTAGGGGCTTACACATGACAAATACAAGGTCAGTAACTTTGGAAAGTTGGCTTTTTATGCAGTTTTTCCATTGCAGTTCCAAGAATGTCCATCGGTGACAAACAAGGTACTTCACACAGGAAATGGGAACTCTTTATTTCAATTAATGTTCTTGGGTTCTGTTCAGGACAGCAGGATGGCCCAGCTCATCTCTCAAATGGCCAAGGAAGAACTGCTGGAGCTGGTCCACATGATTAAAGAGCAGCTGATCTTAATTTTCACTGAAGTCACCAAGTGATGTAACAATTCTGCATATAATTTTGCTTATATAATTCAGTATATAATGCACTGTTCGACTCTGCCATAGATTTTGAAAAATATACAAACCTGTTTTAACCACATTAAAGAGATTTGATAGACAGCTATCAATTACTCAACAGTTTAGGACAATATCAGACACTCCTATAACTTCATTTTAAACTACAAAAAGAACATAAATTCATATAAAATACAACAGATTAAACAAACTTCTCTTTTTCCAAGGAAAAATTAGGTATCAACTCAATCTGCCATAGTGTGAAACATGAATATAAAATAAGTTACCATTAGTAATGCCTGCATTGCTGATCTATGAACTGGTCGAATGAAGTCTTAAAAAAACTATACAGTATTATTGCACTCGTGGCTGTGCAGTGTGGACTGGCCAGCACTGAAACAGGGCTCATTGAGTGTTTGTCCAGGAGGCACAACGTGGCTGCAAGAGAGGCATCCAGCCTGCACCAACAGCAGCTGTCTTCAGTGCAGGCCTTCATGGGTCTGCACCACGCGGCCCGGGAACCACCACGCAATGCCTGTGGAGAGACACCTGGGTTACAGCCCTGCAGCAGGAGCCCTGCAGCACCGCAGCACACCTGCACTGAGCCAGCCCCAGGATGGGCAATCGTGAGCCATGCCTTTCGAAAGCCACAGGTGACACAGGGACGTGCAAGCGCTTGGTCATGAAGTACCTACAGGATGTGAACTCCACGCTACCAAAAGCCGTGGAGCTTTTGCAGAGGAACAGGGCAGGACACCAGAGCATGACATTGTTCTGCTCTCCAGGGTTAAGCAAGGAATAGACAGCATCCTGTTCCCCAAGGCTCTGGAATTCAACTGCGTTAAAAGCCAGGGAGACCTCAAGCCCCGGGACAGAGACTATTGTAATGCACAAAGCAGTTTCACTGACATTAGGCCTGCACCACAGTTTCACTGATATTAGGCTTTCTGCCTGTAGTAACACACATTCTCCTGCCTCATGGAATGCCAGCTTCCTGCTCTGAGACAGGTAGAATGAGCCACATCCCAAAACCTCCCACCCAAACAGCCTCTGTGACACCACACGTGGCAGTTTAACATCATGGGAGCTGCTTCTCCAGGAAAACATTTAACTGAACAAACACACAATCCTAAAATCCAGTCTCCAGTGTGCCCGTCTTATGTGGGCAAACGCACTGGAGGAGACTTACGAGAAGTTTCAGTGCTGATCGATGGGGCTATGATCGATGATGGGGCATTGACTCCATGTGCACATTGAGCTTCATCTCGTTATCAAGGATCTGTACAAGCTGCTGCATGGAGGGGAGGTGGCCAGACTCCAGCTTAGACCACACTGGGACATCTAGTGCAGAACACACACGGGAGAGAAGCACCGTTACACTGGGAGCATGAGAAAATAGGCAGAGCTGCTGTAAACATGGAATTGAAAAGCGCCAGGAAACTGTCTGAGCTGGTACTGATCTATGTTGAGGAAAGCATCTGAATCAACAATGCTTCCAACCTCTGGCTATGCTGAATCCTAGCCCAACCAGGAGAGCAGAGTGTCTAATGCTTCCATTTAGAAGTGTATCATATTGATGGAGAGGTGCAGAACATCCACTGACATTCCCCTCTACCTGAAAAATCAGTACTGTCGTCCATCAGTACCGATAATCCGGCAATAGCAATGGATTCTTTAGGATTCCAAAGCTAAAGCATGCTGCAGAACAGACAGGGAAAGCATCTAATTGGAAAGTACATGCCCCTAGCTGATGGTTTCTTATTTAATGCCCATCACACACAAAGAAAGAATATAACACAGTTATTTCAAGGCACCAAATATCCCTGAGAAAGTTTTTACAGACCTGTTCTAGAATATCTGACATCTGTATAAATTGCTTTATAAGACTTCTATGATTTTCATGATTTATTCTGATAGGCAACACCTGAAGATCCAAATGGATGGCAATTTCCACATATCACATTTGGGACATAAATTTATTGACATCATGCCTCATTCTCCACACCCCACAGCCCTCACATATGTGACACCCCTCAAACAAAGTGTCAGCTCACCATTCAAAGTGATTTCAAAAGCCCCAGTGGACATGCACTGGTTCTCAATCATGTTGCTCAGGAAGAAGACCATCATGCAGGCGTACACCTGGAAGGGAACAGAGACCCACACAGACCTCAGCCACGTCAGGCACACCTGCTGTTGTCCACAGCTGCCTCTGAACTCCCTCTGTCATTGCTCAAGGAATGTTCCCATCTACAGACACCTCCCCTTCCTCCTTTTACAAACTGCACCTTGCCTTCCCCAGAAAAGCACAAACCAGCTCCAACCCCAGCCAGCTCGCAGCCCTCTGCACCCCTCTGGAGCCAGCACAGGCAGCTGCAGGGGCTGGCAGTGTGACACGGGAACTCCCCTGTCCCCAGACACAGCCATCTCCACAGCACAGAGCCAAGGGCCCAGCCACAAACAGCAGAGCAAGGCAAGTCACGTGCACAGGACCCTCCTGCACGCCTCCAAGCCTTCATCTGGAATTTTCTCTGTGCATGGGTGACTAAGGAGGAAAGGACAGCATCTTCAGCAGCGCAGCTCCTCCCTCACCACCAGCATCTCTCTAATTTCCTTTTCCAGTTCACAGGCACACTCACACAAGTCACTGCAACACCACAGAACCAGGCACAGGGACAGCAGCCACGCACTGCAGCCAGTCCAGCCAGGCATGCAGTTGGCCCATTTAATTCAAATGGAAATATTACAGCTTCTGGGCATGCAAACTGGCCAGTGAAAGACCCAGGGCACTGGGCAGCTCAGCATGAAGGTCTGTAAATTAGTTTAGTTTAGTGGAATAAATCTGGAACAAGATTACTCTAAATCAGAGTACAAAACTCTGAATCTACTGGCATCATCAGTACTGAGGCATGGGAATATTCTCCCACAATGTCATGCCAGTCTGCTCTCCAAAAACACCCACAACATTTCAACTTCATTTCTCTAACGCCCTTCTAATTGCTGCCTAATCTATCAGGAGTCTGATGGAAGCATCAACTGCAAAACCATTACGAGACAACAGAGAAGGGAAACGGTAATTTTAACATCAACAATATTGGCTTGAAATGTTCTTCTTGAGCCCTAAAAAATAAAGAACTCTTTTATTGTCTTTGTCAGCACTTTAACCTCAGCTGCCCCTCTGCAGTAGCAGCAGCTTGGAAAGAGATCACAGAAGCACATCTGGCTTTGTCAAAAGCATAAAGCACAATTGGTAAGAATTATTCTACCAAAAGGCTGCAGCATATGAAAGGTAAATCAGTCAGAACTGAGGGACCCAGAGCACACCCTCATGAAGTAACTTTGAAGCTGCTTTTTCAGATTAAAAGAAGTACGTCCTTTACCTTGTTTTCCTGGCCCCACTGCCAGATGCTTGGAGCTTGCATGCCAAAGAAAGCAAACGGGTCCTTGCCAACGATGATTAAGCCAATTAATACTAGTTTGAAGACAGACAGGAAGGATGCTATGTGCCTGTTGGAGACAACACACACCAGTGACTGAAAGGTTCAGTTCCTACTTCACCATCCACAACTATAATTTACATCACTAGGAGACAGAACAATCAAATGTTTCAGGGAAGTACAAAACTTTCCAAGGTTTATTTCGCTGTAAAAAAACCCCAAACCAAGTCAAACCAACAAAACAAAAAAGCAACACACATAACAACACCTCCAATAAGGCCCTGCTTCTGCACAGCACCCCAGAAAGCTACCTTCCTGTAAACCACAGAGAGATTCTTTGCTCCTCAGCAGACTTCAAATAGGACTTTGCCTTTATGCCTGGGTAACAGATTCAGTTTTTAAAGCTGTTCCATATTACACTGACGGGCACCCTTCCTGTGGAGCATTTCCCAGTGATGTGCAACTCCCCAGAGCCAGCCCACACGGAGGCACTGCGCCCCGCAGCCTCCCACCACCACCACCCTGCCAGAAATCGGGCCAACGAGCGCTC